ATTAAATTGCTAAGATAAGTTTCTAACTTATTTAGTATGGGAGAACTGTTTAAATTATTTGCCTCCCGAAGGTTTATTTATGAGAATTCTGTCAATTATTTTTCTCAATATATTTCCCAACCCACTGTGCTTGAAACAATCAAGAAACAGAAAATAACTGAAGTAAGTCTACATACACACGACACTAACTTTAACCAAGTATGTCCACGTGAAACCAAGCAAAGCCAAGTTTGTCCACACGCGACACTAACTAGAGCCAAGTATGTTTACGCGGAACTAACTTAAGCCAAGCATGTCTACTTGTTACTAAGTAAAGCCAAGTATGTCAAAATGTAACTAACTTTACCCAATTTGTCCAGGTTTGCAACATATTTTTGATCTGTGCCTCAAATTCATAAAAAATCATAAAAGGTGAACCACTTTGGAATTCCTGGATTACAAAACGAATGCTGCGTAGATCGATGACGATCCAAGTTGAATTAATTCCATCTTTCCTGTAAAACTAAAAGCAAAATTTGAATATTAACTTAAAATTCTTTTATTTTGTTAAACTCAAGTTTCTAAAATGATTCATTAAATTCTAAAATTGGAAGACATTCTCGGCGAGAAACTGAGGAACTCTATTAATAATTCCACCAGATTTTAGAACAAACTTTTGGAAAAATTATTTCAAAAATTTTCATTTTTGCAGAAAAAATGATTCTTGACGTGAATTTCGTTACTCATAGTTTTATGTACATCAGTACATAAATCTAACTGAATGGGCATTGATTGTGTACACTGTACAGAGTACTGTGTACTCAAAGTTACACATGCATGATCTAAACTTAATTGTTCAACCATTTACTAGTACCACCGGCCACAGGTTAATCGTACTATTTGTGCGCATTTGACCCAGCACGTTTTATGTACAAAATATAGACTGGATACGTGTACTGTGCAGTACACTGTACAGTATGGAATCCCTAGTGTTGGGTTCATTTACAGCAGATTTCTTCCTTCAAGTTACTTCAACTCTGAACCATCTTTCTTCTTTGTATAACAAATCAGCTGAACTAACAGGTACCTAATGTGAATTGTGCAGAAACTTTTAGTTCGTTTAGTACAATTGCTCACCAATTTTAGTTTTTATTAAATTACACAACCTTTAATGCGAAAAATTAATTCACATTGAAAAAAATCAGTTATCACTAAACATTAATTAATCACGTTAGTCAATTTTTTTAACAATTTGGAATTTTAAGAATTTTATGTTTGCTCAGAGGATGTAAACTCTTGAATTAGATATTCTGATTGTTAAATCTCTTAATACACTCTGGACACTTTTGGTTTTCTTCTAAATCCTCTCTTGTGGATATCCCTGCTGCAGATTCCAACCGATGATTAATTAATCATGGGCAAATATTCTTAAATCTCACGGCTTATGATCGGCTTTTGATCAGGGGCGGACTAGAGGGGGGGGGGGGCCTGGCCCACGGGCCCAACGTGAGCTCCTGGAAATTTATGATATGAAATAAAACGTCAAGGATTAAAAACACAACGAAAATAGAATTAAATAAATGACCTGATGTGTAAACTAAAGTTTACAAACTAAAGTTTACAAATAGAAAGTAGGAGAACTGGGGTTTACAGATAGAAAGTAGGAGAACTGGAGTTTACAGAGAGTAAGTAGGAGAACTGGAGTTTACAGATAGAAAGTAGGAGAACTGGAGTTTACAGATAGAAAGTAGGAGAACT